ATCAATTCCCTTCTCATAGAAGTTGCCAGTGATTGTTTTCTGGTCAATGTCTATCTAGAACTGATGTGTAGACCCAAACAAAACATTTTTGCATTTAAACTAACCCCTTTTTTATTATTATTAAGCTGTTGTATTAAAATTTTCTGAAAAAAACTGTGAGCCATAAAAATTACACTGCAAATTTTCTGGATTGAAAATCTCTTATTTTATCTTTTGGAATAATTAATTTGACAATGTTTGTGCCTATTTTCTGATTCTCAGATGCGATAAATTAAATGAATGTCCACCTGCAGCAAAAATGAGAACAGACTTTTCTAGTAACAAACAGAGCGGTCCACTTTTAAGAAAAATATCAATCAAGTTGATAAAACATGTCTAAAGTCCTTTTTTATTATTGAGTGCAAGATAAGATATTTTCATAATGGTTTGCTGAAGGCTTCTGCTTTGGTAACTGTTGTGGTTTATCATTTACATGTCCTACATGTCCACAGCTGCACACCCCGACTGATTTTGACTGTGTCATTGGTTATGCAAATAAAGAACCACGCAGGTTGAGACTGCAGAGTGTTTTTATCATAAACAACTTTACGGAGAAGAGACATGAATGCATAAACAGTACGATGGAAATGCACAAACCTGCAGGTCATTGTGTTCATGTTTTCTGGTATTTGCTCCTATTTTCTAAAGAACTTTAATGAAACCATAGCCATGTTTTTCTTAGGGTTAAAGATGCCAGTAATGGTTCAAATTTGGATAAATATTAATGCACCATTGGGCAAAAGTGGACAAAGCACCAAAAAGATAGTACTCAAGTAAAACTGATAATACTTCAACATGTTTTTACTCAAGTAAAGGTAAAAAAAATAATAAATTATTCAAGTAAGAGTAAAAAGTATTTGGCAAAAAGTCTATTCACGTACCGGTCAAATTACCAATCATTTAATATTTAAAAATTATATAACCAGATGGACCAAAAGGTAAAGTTAATCAAAAATAGAAACAAAAATAACAATAATTTATATAAGTAACAAAAAGAAATGAAATAAGGCAAAATAACTTCTTTCCAAATCAATTTCTTTCAATTAAAAACTTTAACAAAAATGGCAGGTGTATGTCTGTGTGTGGTGAATTTTTCATTAAAACATGTTTATTTTTCATTTAGTGGGTAGAAAATCCAGAAATTTTACTCAAGTAAGAGTAGAAATACTTTATAATAAAATTACTCAAGTAAAAGTAAAAAGTACAAATCCTCCTAAAAGTGCATCTTTTTAAAAAAAATAAGAAAGGTTACTGAAGTAAATGTAGTTACTACCCAACCAAAATGAATGGAAGTCAATACAATGTCTAATTACGATATAAATGCAAAGTCTTGCAGATAGATATGAACAAGTTTGATGCTAAAAAAAAAGCTAAATTAACTCATACAAACATAGAAGGATGCTTTTTTTTACTCAAAATTAAAGTTTGTACAACTTTGTGACACAATAATGCTGATTTCTTGTAAAAGTAAAGTTTTCAGCCCTTTTTCTGCTTCCACTCTACACAAATGGGCATTTCTCTCGGTGCACTGCTGGAATTTATCATCAAACTTGTGTGAAGTTTGGACGTGAGTAACTTCGAATCAGGCGCTGGCTGGTTAAATCTTGTTCTTTCTGGTTAGACCTCAGTAGTCCATTTACATATATTCTCATTGCATCACACTGGGAGGCTGACCTCCATGAGGTAATCACCAGAAAAAAAATGTTGTGCTGGCTCATACTGCTCTTGTCCTGTTGCCTGAATGGTCGCCTTGGTATGCAGCAGGAAAAAGGAGAAACAAACAGTCTGACTCAAAGTACGGGGGTTGCTATTGTGCAACAGAGTCACACAGGATATTCTGGAGAAAAGCACTCAGCTCACTTGGTTTCACTTGACAGAGTTGTTTGGGTCAGAAGTGGGAAAAAGAGTCCAAATACACCTTTTTATCTGTATTGGTAACGAACTAATAGCGCCCTCTTCAGCACTCAGAGACTAAAGAGAGAGTTTTATTGTCCTACAGCGCCCTCTGCTGGAAGCACAACATAAGAGCATTAAAAAAAACTACCACGAGGTATTAGGGTTATTGATAATAGAAAAACAAATCGTACATTTCCGCAAAAAGCCTCCCGAAATTTTGCAAGTAATCTAAGAATTTTTTTAAGAAAAGACTTGGAGATTTCTGGGTTTAAAAAATCAAAAACTTCCTTCAAACAAGTCTGAAATTTTGGGATTAATTTCAGAAATTTTCAAGAAAAAAACAATTTCTGAGCTCCAAAAGTTGAAAATTTGCAAGTAAAAGTCTGAAATTTTGAAATCGATCTCAAAAATGTATAATTTCCAATAAATATTTCCAATGTTTTTCTATATAGAGTGATAAAAAATCAAACCAGCAGGCTGACTGTTGTCAAAACTGGACAAATTTGCTCCAATTCACTGCTTTCTTATTTTAGCAAGAATTAACTTTTAATAAAAAGCTTACAGCCATTATCAATTCACATTAAAATTGACTCCCCTGTATTAAACTGGGGCAAATACTATCATGTCTGAAGCAAGTTTTTCTGATGAGATGACCAGATGCAGATAAGAAGACTTCAGAGAATATGAAAATATTCTAGCAAAGGATTTTATTTAGTAAGTGATCAAGGTGAAAGTATTTCTGTCACGCTAAATAAAGTCATTTGTTCTGTGTTTGCAGTTTCTCCTTCCAGAAATCTTTGTCACAGTGTCATCTATTCCAGATTCCTCAATCAAAAATATATTTATTTTTAATTCAACTTCAGTTGTTATTTTAAGAATATCTAAATATTTATACGTGTTATATAATGATTAACTGCACTGTAGGTAACATTTTCATTAAAAAAAGAAAATGTCTTGCAAGAAAATGAAGAAATTTTGCATTAATTGTGTGAACATTTCTATTAACTCTAATTTTTAGGTACATTCAAAAACATTTTAAACATTTCTCTTGTTGAAAAAGTGAAATTGTATCACATTTTAACCTTGTGCATTCAGAAACATTTCTGTTTAAAAACTGAAATTTCCATATTTTTACAACATTTCTCAAACATTAACATGAAAACAAGAAATAAAACCTATTAGAAGTATTAACAGAAAGGTTTTTCACATTTTAGTACATTTACCTTTTTTTATGGAGTTTTTTTTTTTTACAATCTAGAGAGGGAAAGAAAGCTATCAAAAAGCAGAAAACATCAATTGTTGGAACAAAAGCTTCTGTATCCTTGAGCAAGTAAAGATAAACTACTAAAGGCAGGATCTGTTTTTTAAGGTTTGTGTCCAGTTTTCTTTGAATGACAAAAACTTTCTGTTCCTGGAAACTATTTTTAAGCTGACAGAAAACAGCTGTGCTCCACCAATATGTTGATAGGAAACATTTCACAATTCATTGGTCCACAGTTGGCCACCAGGAGGCGCTGTTGTTTGCACTTTTGCCTCTTCTTGGTTCATATGTTCCAGGTAATTTCTACGTAAAAAACTTACAGCTTTCTGTCTATTTACGTAAGTAATCAAATTTAAATAAAAACAGCACTTCTAAACTGGCTACTACTCTGAGATTTTTTTTATATTAGGTTTTTCTAAATAAAACAAAATACACTGTATTTTATTTTTGTACATTTGAGGTGAGATTCAAATAAATTCACACCCTGAGAACAACCACATCATTGCATCCACTGAATTGTGTTTATTTGTTTGTCGTGGTCCGGGTGGTCCATTCCAGTTCCTAAAACAAAACATGAGCAAATATAAAATATAACAGTCAAAAATAGGCTTAGGGTTCAAACTTATTGATTACTGAGTTTAACTTGAGTTTTCTCTTACATTAAGAGGGTCGACCATCTTTCAATGACACGAAGGGGGAAATTATTCATAATGCTGAATTTAAAAAAAAAGAACATTATATTTTAACAATTTTTTTAATATGTATTTTTAAACAATTTTAACAATAAATTTTTTCTAAATATTTATAACATGTAATTTTAACTATTTTTTAACAATTATAATTCTCTCATAACTTGGACATATTGGGACCGTTTGTCTCTCCCCTTAATCTACGTTTGTGTATAAATGGTTGCGCTTAAGAATGACCAGTGGCTCCCTCTGCTGGATGGCGGCCAAACTACAAAATTGAAAGAAGGTCCGTGGTGCAGTATGTAACTTTTATAAAATACTTTTTAAAAGTATTTGTTGACGCTATCACTATGTTGTGACAATTTGCTATGAGACAGATGGGTCTCTTTCACTTCATCCCTGAGCTAAATGCACTGCTCCAGTCCAAAAACAACCAATCAGAGCCAGGAGCCGGGGTTTAACACCATCAATCACACTCATGTACATGCTGCTAAATGTGCTAATAACGAAGAAACAACTTACACTTACAGTAAAACCGTTTATCCACTAACATTGGATTAATTCATGCTAGTTAGCATGAATGGATGCTAACTAGCATTAGCATTCACAACAAGATCTGCTAGCTGCAGGGTAGCACAGGAGGGGATGAGCAGCACCACACTGAGGGGTGACTGATGGCTCTGAAACAACCAATCAAAGCCAGTAAGAGCTTGATTTTTATACTGTGCTGTTATGACATAGTTCAACAATAGCTTTCACTGCAACTTTAATCGTTTTAATTTAATAAACCATTAATCGACAATCGTAAATTAACTAATCCATGTAGGAAATAATCTTCTTTTGTTATTCCCTCTCTTATTGATTCATTTTTCCTCTATTTTTCAGTAATAACTACAAAAGTCTAATACTTACTTGTATGTTTATTAAATCTTTTGTCATCTACCATGAGTTACCCTGATCGATAGGCCAATTACTGCTCAGCCTCCACGTCTGCCTGTTCAATAATAGCTTACAGCTGCAAAGGAAGGAGGGGGCAAACCAAAAGGGGCAAGGGGGGTGAAAGGAGGGCAAGAGAGTGAAGCAAGGAAGGAAGTAAGGAAGGGAGGAAGGAAAGAGGGGGCGGCGAAAGCAGAGCTGTGATGCAGGCAGTGAATCACATACGGATCTGTTTACAAACCGAGAGCTGCAGATGAGAAGTGGAGAAGAGAGACGAGGGAGGACAGTGAACGTGAGAGGAGCCTGGATCAGAATTAAGATTAGTGCCGTGGTCTTCCTGTGTTACCAACCCTGCGCCGCGGGTTGTGCGTATGGAGCAGGGAGGCAGATGGAGGCGCTGCCATCGACTTTCCACGGGAGAACCTGCCCGGATAACAGGAACATCCATCTGTGTCGTTTTCCTTTGTCTCTCCACAGCAGGAATTTGAAGCCATTGATAAAAGGAGAGACACAAGGATATAACAGAGACTTGGGATTGCTTCAGTGACTGCACGTAGGTTTCTTTGTCATCCACTGAACCTGACAGTCGGTGGGAGTGTTTAGTGGATGTCTCCTTTGTGTTTTAGACTTAAGAAAACCTGCTTTTAGGTACCAATCCCCCAGAACTTGTTGAGAAACCCAAAACTTTTCCCAGCTGAAAAGTTCACATGTGAATTGGATGCATCCGGTTCTCTGGTGTTACGGTAAGTGTTTTGGATCCACCAACATTTTGCGTCACACAAACCGCTGTGCGTCTGACTCTGATTGAATTGCAGCCCATTAAAGTTTGACAAAGGAGAACCGATACAAGCAGGGCGATTTGGGAGTCAAAAGGCAAATTAAACAAACTCCTCTCATTTAAGATGTTCAGTGCTTTGCTTCTGCTGTAAATGAAGTTTTGAACTTTTTCAGGATCAAATGAAAGTTTATAAAAGTCACTTGCAATCTTGTTGGCAACGATACTTTTTGTCCTTGTCTATGTTCCCCTTCACTAGACACTGAATCTACATTAACCACTATTTTCAGATTTAACAATTGAATATGATTTTAGATTTTATTCACTAATTCATATGTTTTCGACCTGGAGCTTTTTATAATCGATAACTCAGTGCTACCGAGTTATCGAGACACCGTCGTGTCCGGACGGTACGATACGTCCGTGGAAGATTCAAACGTAAAATATTTTAATTCATTATTCTACATAACAGTGTTGGATATTCCAGCTTAAATAATGTTAAACTGACCAAAACAGGTATTGTAGATCGCCTTGTTAGCAATTAGCTTTGTTTTTTCCCTCCAAAATATGCTAAATGTTTTTGTCTCACAGAAAAACTTTCTATAATAAACAGTTTTGTTTTTTTCCAGGTATTATCCATCTTTATGAGATTTTCTTCCCATCTATTTAGTTACTCTCAAGTTTAGAACAAGTTAGCTTAAATAATTATATCAACATATTCTATTGCAGAGAACCTGCAAATCTTGACAATTCTTTTTTTATGTTAATAATTTAACTTTTCTTTAGCAATGATAGCCCATGAAGGCAGATCTTCATAAAGAGAGTCTAAATGTGGATTTATCAAATGGGACTGCAGATGTTAAATGGTTTTAAGCTAAAACTTTAATAGTGGTTTTCGTCAAAACAAAACAAAAAAATGCTTGGAAAAATGTGTATGCTACAGTAAGTGCTACACTGTAGCATTGTTATTTTCCTTCCAAAATGCGCAACAGGCATTTTTTTAAAATTAATTGTTATGAAAATTTTCATATTTGCATGATTAATTACTGACAATTTCGAAACAAGCTAGCTAACCTTCAGACACAGTATTTTGATATCTAGAGCATGATGCCATATTTGTAGTTAAATAGGGAAAAATCTGATTGTTTTGAGTAAAATGATGCCAAATTGATCTATAATGGCTCTTTTTGGCGGCACAGCTGCTTTGGAAGTATTTTACCCATAAGGCCTTGCAGTAGTTTGCCAGGAGTATGGATTCACATATAATCTTTGAAAAAAAATTCATTAGTACCTCTTTGGCTAAACTTGATTCGAGGTCATTTTCCATTACACCCCATTGAAAACCGAGTCAAACCAACTTAAGTAGAGTTCAGATAAGTAGGGATAACTGGAAAGGAGGCGTTAAATTCTTCTTTCTTTCAAAACTAACCCAGTTATTCACGGCTTCAAAGTTACTAACATTCACAATGATAAACATAATCTTAGATAATCTTTAATTGATTGAGTGTTTGACATGTTATGCTACATTAGCATTGTAGTTTTCCCTCCAAAATGTAACCACAAGAAATCTGTAGATTTTTTTTTTTTTTTTGCTTGGTTTGACACCAACACCAATTTTTTTCAAAATGTTTCCACCTTTATGATGAAGTAAATATCTGGCATGGCTATATGTCCCTCTGGGGCTGCCATCATAATGTTTCAGTGTGCTACGCTTAATTATTCTGGTTTTCTGCAATTGTCAGGTGCATGATTAACTGTTTTCTCATTATTTTTTGTTTTACTCAAAATAACTTTTAATCAACATAAATCTTGACTTTAGACATGAACTCAATTTTTATATAAGCTCTTAATAACCTACTGTTACTCTACATTTCCTTTTAAGTGGGTTTTACAAGAATCAACACAAAAATGTACATCACATTTTTTGTTTTTCCTTTCAGCAGATTAAACTATGAACATCAGCAGGAAAGATCTACAGAAACAGCTGTAATGTTTCTAGATCTGATCAACTACCTCACTTCAACCATGTTCAAGTTCAGACCTGTTCATGCATGCATGCAGCATTTGCACAGTGGCCTACCTTTTGGTCCTCCACTATCAATGATTTACTAACATAGTGCTAAGATTACAGCTGCCTCCTCTTTAACCTAAACGTCCAGCCAAACACTGGGCTTACCAGCCCTCTGTACTGGTGTGACCTTTGTGTATTAAAGCGTGACTTCTGAGCAGGAGGATAAGCTATTCTGTCTAACCGCAAAAATGTGCTAATTGCATCATTGCGCTACACTGATGGGGGTTTGTGTGGAAGGAAAGCCACTCCGTTTAATCATCCAAGGCTAAGAAAACAGTTTGTTCTCAATTAAAATATTTAAGAACCCAACATGGAGGTGGAACACATTCCTATGACATGCAGGTGCTTTGCAGTGTGAAGAATATTTGTAAAAAAATTAATTTTCTCTCATAGAAAAGTCAGAAACTGTCATACAAGAGATTATGTATGACAAATCTGACCCAAGACAAAAATAAAACACTGTAAAAAGACAAAATGTTGCCAAGTATTTTTGGTCTACTAAGCAGTGCAAATATCTCAGTATCCTAAAAATAACTTACAAGTAATTTCCCAGCAAGATAATGGAGTTTGTTTCAAGTAAATGATTCCTTTTTATTGATTTTAGAAAGTATTAGTTCCTTCAACAGATTATTCTTTCCATATTATAATTTGCCAGTGGAACTAATACTTTTTCGTTAATATTAAGGAATTATTGACTTAAAACAAGTTCCTAAATCTTCCTGGAAAGTTATTAAAATATTTGTGTCAAAAATTCTTGGTAAGATTGTGTGTTGTTGCACGAAAATTATAGAAAACTTTCTGAAATAATAGCTGAAAATGAATGATCCAAAAAATCCCACAATATGTTTTTAAAATTGTTTTCTTTTTGATCAAGAGAGAAATATTTGTAGAGTTACTTGATGCAGAAAGCCATGATAATAATGACCCTTTGATTTGATTTTGTAAAACAAATACCTGCACTGGAGGTGGGCGGATTGATCCCAAATATTGATACTAAGTTGGTATCAATATTCGTAGTTAAGGTCAGTGCAGTTTCAGGTTCTTTGGATTGGATTTTCAACTCTATCTCAAATATTTTGTTTTGATTTGCTGCATTCATGACATTTTCACTGTAAACGTTTATGTTTTTGGATAATAAAAGATCATTTTCTAATTAGTTCCAGCCAAATCCCTAAAAAAAAAAAAAAAAACGCGTTTGATTAATTGAAAATTTGATGCTGATTCTGTCTAAACCAAACTTCTATCAATATTCTGCTGAGATTTTGAAAAGGATCATTTACTTGAAACAAGCTCCATTAATTGAACTTAATCAATTAAGGTAAATAATCTCTACCCATGATTCCCATTTTTAGGGTGTTTGTGTGACTTTGAACTGCAGGACTTCGTCCCTGACTGCAAGATGACAAGCGAAAGTTTCTTTAACCTGCCGCTTAATATTTACATCATCATCCTGAGCATCGGCCTCTTCATCTTCATGCTCAGCCTCATCTTCTGCTGCTACTTGTTCAGGTACACTGTGGTTTAACTTGAAAATGAAGCAAGTACAGTCAACCAGAAAATTTGATTTAATTTGCATTAATGCATTTTTATTAAAAATTGCTCTGAATTTTGCTCAGAAACATTTCATTTGAATTTGAGCAGACATTGTCCTCAACCACTGCAGACTGACAAATGCATTAATAGAATAGGTTTAAGTAAACTCTGGTGCAGTTTGAATGTTCTTCTGAACGCCAAGCAGACAACTCTAAAAGCAGGAAGTGAACTATAGCATAGGGCATTCTGGGTAAATACAACCAAAACAAATTTGCAAGTCTAGTGCTGGGGGAGAAATGTCTCCTGGCCTTTAATGACGAAAGACAAATCCTATAACAGGTAAAGTCTGATGCCACTCCACTTTTGTTCTCATTTTGTGAAGAAGGAAGTTGTGCTCAGTATCTTCGTCAAACGTTTTTATGTCGTTTTCTTCTGTGGTTCTTGGTGCAGCGCCGCCACAGGTGAGGAGGGGAAAATGTTTTTCAAGGTTTGGTTCATTTACACAGTGCAGTGTGAAAGCGAAACACACCAACTGAATATGTAACAAATGTTGCAGTTTTTGATCCCCAATCAGACCAAGTCTACCAGACTATCACGTATGAAAACACACTTAGAATTGTTAGTTCACTCAACTCTTGGACATGTGAAAAAATTAATCAAAAGCTAACACAACTCACTAATATTTTACAAACTTACATTCAAAATCTAAAACTTACCAGATTTCTTTGACTTAAAGACTAGAAGCGAGTAGACACATCTAAATACAGATCAAATATTTTATAGTGAAGTTTTGATGTTTTTTGTGCAGCCCTGCTCAGTGTGAGGGACTTCACTGCTCAGGTTGTTACATGAATTTGACATCGTATGAATTCCAGGGCTGCTTGAAGCGCTGAGCATCCCCAGCTGATTCATTTAGCATGACAAGACTTGTATCAGTGGAGAGAGATAAGAAAACACATAGGGATGTTTTTGGTGACAAACTTGTAAGTTGTCTTTTCGCTGGATGGAGAGGGCATGTCACTTAAAATTCTGAACCAATCAGCTATAATTATTCACCAATATTTAAATAGGCCAAGGACATAAAATCTCTTCTTATTTTCTTTCTATCCTTCTTTCTGTCTTGAGTGTTTTCATTCCTGATAGTAAAGGTGATTTGGTTCGATTAGAGACCAAAATTGCAACATTTTCAGCTGTTGCAGTTTGCTTTCACTCTGAACAGTGTCAAATGAAACAAACTAATTGAAAAATTTGTTCCCCTCCTCACCTGAGATGACAAAAACCTAAACACATAAACATAAACAAAACTTCCTTCTTTACAAAATGTAAACAGAAATGGCGTGGCGTCAGATTTCAGCGGTTGTAGGATTTCTCTTTCGTCTTTGGTAAAAGACCACAAGACATTTCTTCCACTAGCGCTAGACTTGCATGTTTGTTTTTGTTGTATTTACCCAGAATGCCCTGCGCTGTAGTCCGCATCCTGATTTTGAAGCGGTCTCCGGACCACTTGGTATTCACATATGCATTCAAACTGCACCAGAGTTCACTTCAACCAGAACAAGACCAAGGTTTGCAGGTGGATCACAATTTGCATTTTTGGTCAGCATCAGAGTTTGATTCTGCATTGACACCTCTATAAACGAACCGGACTTTCTAGGCAAACGCCTGCAAATCACTCTACCGCTTTTCTACTTTGGGTGTTTTCACACTTGATAGTCCCATAAACTTGGTTTGAATGGGGAACAAAAGTGCAACATTTGCTACATTTTCAGCCGATTCGCACCAATGTGTCTCATGTTGCCATTTTGTTTTTAGACTTATATACCAACTATTTTCTTGCAGGCTTGCAAGAAAATAAGCATGGGTTTTAAACAGAATTTTATTTTGTTGCTTCTTTACAGACTAAGAAGACAAGGTACAAGAGATCATTATGGCTACAATGAGGTAACATATTGTTAATGAAACATTCCTACAAAACTGTTTTCATTTGCATTTCTGTTAGGTAAACTAAATTATTTCCTTTGTCATCAACAGGTGGTACTGAAAGGAGCGGGAAAGAAACTGAGTCTTCTTGGTGTAAGTTCAATACATGTTGTAAGCTAATACGAATTTAGGGATTGAACATTTAAAGTACTTCAGGTTCTTATATTAATTGAACTGAAGCATGCAGTTCCAGTTAAAGTTGCTGTAGCATCAAGCACACATCTAAACTTTTCAATTATTGATATGGCTGTAAATATGGGCAAATTTGGGGCAATTGGTGGCTATTGTCTTGAAGCCTACCCCATATCGACCTTAGTTCAATGACAAGTTATATTTTCTTTCCCATTTTGAAGAGTAGCAAAGACAAGAGAAATAGGCTTCAGAGTTATGCAATATTCCCTTGGTACTCTGATCAAGAAGATTTCTAGGATAAGTTCGTTTTTTTCACTTTGCTGAAGAGGTTTCATGATCTGGTATTTTCTTTTTCCAGCAAATGTGTGCAGTATGCTTGGAAGAGTTTCGCACGAGGGATGAGCTTGGAGTGTGTCCGTGTTCCCACGCTTTTCATAAGAAGTGAGTTCAATAGTAGTTTTTGTTGATCACCATGTTTTTACGACAGTGTACAGCCCATATGATGTTTTTACGTATGCAGAGTTTTTTGCATGCTTCAAACTTCAATAAGTAGTTTAACAGACATCAAAATGTCTTGCAGTTATTGCTGAATTCTCCAATGCTAATTACATCAACTTTCTTGAATATATCTTCTTTGCATATTTGAACTGGAGCACTAGCTGAGACCTGTGTCCTACAGCAAAAATTGTGCTAGCCATGATTTTTTTAGTCATGTTTTTCCTCTTGTCTGTATGCTTTTTCCCTAGATGTCTGCTGAAATGGTTAGAAATTCGGAGTGTGTGTCCGATGTGTAACAAGTCAGTTTGTCGAATCCAGCATGAGCCCCAACAAACACCCGAGCAGCCGCAGAGTCTCTCAGAAGTCTGATAAAGGAGTCCTACTCAGCAATGCAGAGCACTCTCCGTTCTGCTGAACTCTCACACAGTTTCAATTTTTTTTTCTTTTTAAAAATGGAAATATTATTTTGAGGCAGAGTTACTCTTGCAGAAATTTTAAAATAAACATTGTTGTCATCAGAAGAACATTTTTGGATAAATGTATGAAGGGGACACCTACACACGAATGCTAATGCTAATGCTAAGTGCCATAAAGACATGTAAGCATGTACTAATAAGTTTTTAGCATTATATGTCAACCTGTTCAGAGAGAAGTGAAGTGACCTATCCAAGACGTAGACAATGTATTCAGGGTTAGCAAAAAAAAAAGTGACATACAGCGGACCCCTGTTTGATTTTTCTGTAGAACTTTGCCTCCAAATTATTTGCGTAAAATCTACTCATTAATTGGGAAGCTAGACGCAATGCTACATGACACACTATTGGCTGGTGTTTGAGAAACAGCCAATCCAGGAGCTCCATACATTTTCCTTAGCGCTGATTGGCTGACCCATAAGGATAACAGAGGCGCTAGCTCCTGTGGTAATGCTACAATGGCAATGGTGCAGGATCCATTTTCAAGCAGTTTCCACTCTTCAAATGCTTAATAGGTGACTTCCTCTGACTTTAAAACAATTTGGATCCGTTAGAAAGTGTGCTATCAAGTTGTGAATGTTCCCAGATGACGTTTTGTAGTGAAATCGATCATTTTTGCCTCCAGTTCTGCCTCAGAGAAATGTTTTCATGTCAAATGCTCCCCATAGACTTCGCACCTTGTGAAAGTGGTGTCTTTTTTCTCTTTTTTTATTATCAAGACTTTAATCAAATGAAGACTGTTCTTTGGGGATTAAAGGGGGGATTAAGCCCACTATACACCAACACAGAAAGAATCAAAAATCTGTTTTGGTCCACGTTCTCTCAAAACTGAAATGAAGGTTTCCACTCGTTCTCTTAAATAAGAAGAAAAAACACATTGGGTTATTTTTTTAAATTTACAAAACATGGTAATTACAAACCAACCAGCTAATTATATAAAAAATAACAAAGAATATGAGCTCCCTTAAGTAAGCTACGCTGGGAAAAAAGTTTCTCAAAATGAATAAATTAATATCACGTTCATGATGGGCTTAAGCTTGTCTCCATGTGACTTTTTAAAGTGGTAGTTAAATTGTTTTGTATTATCTATAAAGCCTGGATTTGTTAGTGATGAGAAGCAGTTTTAATGTATTTCTCGAATCTTGGATTTGTGATACCTCAAAAAAAGGAGTACAAAACCAATTTATTCTCAACAAAAAAAAAACCAATTGCTATTGCTGAACAAAAACATTGTTTTCAACCATTAACAGGTAAACAGATTCTTTAAGTTGCTGTCGTGTTGGTGGGATGCATACCTTAAACCTAATTTTCAGCATATTCAATATGGTATAGTACTCTGTAAATACAAAGGTGACTTTTGTAAGAAAAAAAAACTACAAAAAACAACCAAATCCAGTATAACCGTTCTTTTAAATGTTATTTTAAAATCTGTGTTGATTTTTCTCTGTGAATAATTTTACCTAATTAAAATGTTATGCATTACACTGTCTCTGACTAATTTGTATATATTTATTAGATGCATACGTAAAACTGAAATAAAACAAATTAGCAAGAATTTGACATATTTCAGTGTTTGATAGAATCTAAGTGGAACTTCCACATGTTGAAATAATAATAAGGAAATGGGAGGAAAAAAGGTGAAAAATCAATTTATAGTAAATAACCATTAAACTCTCGCTCCTAATAACGCTTTTATTCTGAAAGATCCATTCCGGAAGCGGTGACGTTATCCACGCTGTAAACTAAGCGCGAGGGAAATTCAGTTGGACGAAAGATAGTGTCGGAGTAAAGTATTTAAATTGTGTCCTTTTTATTTAGTAGCGCGTTACAATATAAGTTTGTGGAAATATACATCCAATGACAAGTTTAAGTGCGCTAATAAACTGTTAATATTAGCATCTAGTTAGACGTGTGTTATTGTTTTGTTCTGCGGTTCACCGTGTGGAGGCTAACGCTAGCCGACTAGTGCTGTCTTGTTTACATGACGAAAAGTTTCAAGAACAGAAGGGTTCCACGTTTTAACAGAAGCAGAACAAAAGGGAAAACTTATTTATTAACTTACTGACACGTAAAAGAGACCAGAGGGAGTATTGTAGAGTGGTTCACAGCCGTCGAGGATGTCGGTTGGTCGAAGAAGTCATGACGGAACCACCAACGTTTCAGGCAGCGACACTGACGACGAAGTGCGTAAAGCGCCAATGTTTTCTATAAATCTAATATGATTTATGCTTGACGGTTTTCTGCTGTTGCTTTGTGTGGTTTTAAACAAATTCACGTTTTTTGTTTTCCACAGCCCAAGCTTCCTCTCCCTCAGTTTTATCCTTACATCCGCTGCACTGTTTGCTGCGGCTTCTTCATCGATGCCACCACCATCACAGAGTGCCTGCACACATGTGAGTCACAAAACTACGACTATTTCACTTTAAAGTGAATAACAACCGACACATTTGCTTGTTGGAAAATGAGTACAGTCATTAAAAAACAGAAATTTGTGCAAAGAAGTAATAGGAAACAGAAAATGGCTACATTACAATTGCTCCTAATTTTTTACTACCTTAAGCGAGTTTAATTAGCTCTAATTTAAAATCAGCAATATATAGACCCTTAAAACCTGGACTAGATTATTCTCCACTGAGTATGATCTGTGGAAGTTCAGTAAAAGACGATTTGAGTGATTGTATTTTAAACTGAACCACATTACAACTAGTTAATCTCAACCTTGAATCCGACTAATTCCGACCATAAACATGTTTTGGCTTCAGGTCTCAGCACTATAGCCATAATATTTATGAATTAGCCACATCTCAATACAGAAGACATTTTAAAACTGGTCAAGCAGGTTCATTTAGCTTTACACTGGACATTGATTGTGTGATTTTTACAAAATGTTCATACAATTTTTTAGTTGAGCAACAGTTTTTGAGTGAAATTCTTTCTGTATTTAAGCTCAACAAATAGTGTAATATATTAATATTGTACTTAAACGCTTGAAAGTAGATGTGCTGGCAAAAAAATTTGGAGGATATGAACTTCCAATATCTTCAAAGCCACATACAAATATTTTTGAATATCAAGCATTTCTGCTTGCATATTCAATGTAAGGCTCAATCATTTCTCTTGTTCAGATAAATCTTGAATAAGTTCCAAGGCTCTCACTCAAACGGCACAATAAAAAACGTCTTATAACTAGTTTTCTTCTGCTTTTTCATCAAGTTTGCAAAAGCTGCATTGTGAAGCACTTCTTCTCCAGCAACAGATGTCCGACGTGCAGCATTGTTGTGCACGAGACGCAGCCTCTTTACAACATCAGGTGAGTTTTTTCTTCCAGTAGCAGCTGCTGACTAATTTCTCTCCCTGTGTTTCTGTTTGATATGCAGCCGACTGGGAGTTAATTACTTTGTTTTGCAGGCCAGACAGACAGCTTCAGGACATTGTATATAAAATGGTTCCTTTCCTGGAAGAACGTAAGAATGTTTGAGAACATACTAAAACCAAACGTGTGTTCATCTGAGCTTCTGATGTAATGTTTTGAGCTTTTTGTGAGCATTTTATGTTTTTTTTTTTTTTTTACAGTTGAAAGGGAAAAAATGTGTAATTTCTACAAAGAGAGGGGGCTCGCCGTGCCGAAACCAGGTGATGAAGTTCAGCCTCTCTGGATTTATAATCAAATTTTACATAGATGAAGTATTTTACTTTATCGCTGACTGTATTCGACGTGTGGTTTGATCTTTTTTTAGTGCCTATTTCACCTAAAGGTCCCATTGTGCTGAAGAAAAGGAAAGATAACTTTCCCAGAGCCGTGTTCACCATCCCCCCTGAGCTGAATATTTATCTACTCCTGGAGTTTGTCGGGTACATTTCCGTTTTTGGCACTAAAATTATTTTAAGTATTTTAAGTTTGCTCCTTTGGAGCAATGATACTTCATATTGCATAGTTTTTATTTGCAAAGACCACTCAACATGAAAATAATGTTTTAAAACTGTGAGAGGAAGCTGGGGTGTCTTAGTTTATGCAGATGGGCTTCTGCATTTAAAGGCTAATTTTTATTCAGTAAAGTTTCAAAAATAAATGAATATATGTATGTTAAAGTCACTTGTGTGTTCCCTTGTTAATGGACGGCATCAAAGTCACATTTCTCTTGACTGTTTTGTTTTCAGGGCTGAAAATGGGATCTCTGACTTTAAGGTAAAGGTTTAAGATCTTTATAACAAATGTTTATAACATAAACAAATATTATTGGTGCCTTGTAAGAGTAAATGTAATGCAAGAAGTCGTAAAAGGTTCATTTTATCTCACCTTCAGCTTCTCAAGTCTCCATTACACATAGGAGGTGAAAAAGGAGAGAATTTCCACCAAACTACACAGAAAAATTCAGTATAAAAGTTGCAAGAGAAAACAGAAATTTTGAGATTAATCTAAAACATTTTCTAGGAAAAACATGGAAGCTTCTGAGTTATAAAAGTTGTTTATTTTCAACTTTTCATTGTCAGAAAATGTTTCATGTTTTTTTTTTTTTTTTTTTCAGAAAATTGTTTTGGTGGAAATTTACCCTTCCTTTCTTTCTTATCTATAAATATCCTAATATGATGTTATAACTTTTTGTATCCTCTGATGTTGAAGGTTTCTGTGTCTCATTCATGAATTTGTCTTGGTTTTTGTTTGTTTTTCTGTCCTTTTGAGAATTTTTTGTTTGACAAACTATTAAAAAAATGGGATTTTCTTTATTTGAAGACATTATCAACAAAGTTAATTTTAATTTTTTTTTTAGTTTCTGTTTATGGAAAACGTGTAAAAATGAGGGGAAGTGTTGATGCACACAAAAGCCTTTGGCCCCTCCTATTGGTTCTTCTGAAGATTACAGTAGCCTTTGATTCAAATGCAAAAAAGGTTAATTGAAGATTAGCAAATAAATTTCACACACATAAAGTGATACTTTAATATTGAGAAAATGTCTATTTTAGTCATTCAAATACACTTTTTACTGTTAAAGTTGACATATTTATCTTGAATATCTTGAAGTTAAAGCTGATCCTCTCTGCTGTTGTTTCAGCCTCTAGAAAGGCCGTACATCTGCGTGTCGGGCGAAGCCACCATCCGACACGTGGAGCTGTTCATCCGGAGGAAGATGGAGCTCAGCCCCAAGTGTCAGGTCAGCCTGCAGTTTAGATTTTAGTTTGGATACAGATCGTTTTCAGAGGGAGAATTAAGCAGTTTTGTGGTAAAAAAGGGATGATAAAAGCTACTTTTTGAAAATATTTCCTATCACTTAAATTTTTTTCTTTTTTTCTAATGAAAGTGAGGAAAATAATTCATTGAAATCAGATGTGTGGTATTTTTAAGTCGAAATGCTCAGGTAATAAACATTTATGAATAATTTAGACATTTTGGTGTGAACAGTTTCTGTTTTCCCTGCAGGTGGATCTGGTTTGTGGAGATCACCTTCTAGATCATCACCAGTCACTGAAAGACATCAAGAAGTTTGTGGGTAAAGAAGCACTACAGGTACACACACACACACATACACACACACCCACACACACACACACACACACACACACACACACAGGAACATGCTGCTGTATGCAACTTTTATCAAACATATTTTTTACAGTCACTATGTCGTGACTGTATCTTGTGAGACGGATAATCTGTGAAAAGTTCGAGATCCCAGTGCTAACTGGAAACAACCAATCAGATTCCAGGAGGAGGATCTGAGTGCTGTCAATAACTCTCCGTGTGGCGCTGCTCATCCCCTTTTCCTCTTCCAGGCTGCCAAGGCTAGTTAGCATAGCCAGTGATAACGGCACAGGTTTTCTGTAACGGTAAGTCGTCTCTCTGCCGTTAACTCACTTATCAGTGTGTATACAAGATTGATTGACAACGCTAAGCCCCTCCACCTGGCTCTGATTGGTTGTTTTTGGTGCATTTCTTCAGACAATAATAGTAGCTCAGCGAGGAATTGTAAAAGATTGATTTTTGTCTAATTTATTTTTCCCCCACAGGGTATCTGTTTTATTACAAACTGGTGACAGATTTTACTTTTTATAAAAGTTACCAAGTGCAGCTTTAAGTTCAGACTTGTTGCATTTCCTTTGCAGGACGGTCTGCTGGTGCTTCACTTCGGTTTGGTCCTCCCCTGTCAGACTTGAGCAGGAAACTTGACCCGAATCTTCACGCTTTCACCGGGTCAACAGCTCAGATTCTCCGCTTTTCTAAATCCACTGAGGACGATTAACAACCTGCAGCGTCAAGCTTGAGTATTTCTCCTTTTTTCTTGGACTTTGTTTGAATCTTGGAGACGATGTTCCGACTGATAGAACCTCCAAATCGGTTCTGAAAGCAGGCAAGTCGAACGCACGCATCCATCTGTGCCTTTACCTTTATTTAACCAATATTTGAGTGGGCATGTATATTTTCGAAGCTGTATGTTTGATTTTGTCTTGGTGTGAATAAGAGAAAACTTTTTTTATGTGTTTGCTTTTATGTTGATGAGTGGAAGTAAACTTCTGTCTTACCCTGAAATGTTCAGGAAAGCCTTTAAAAATGTGAAAAACACCTCATAACTGACATGATTTGCTCAGTAAACCAAGTTTAATTGCTGCTGTTGATAAAACTAGAAGAGAAGCAACATCTGTCTTGTTGATTCATTTTCTCTGTTAGTGATTTTTGGGTCAATCTGTGATTTTTATTTATTGACTCTGACTGCTTTGATAATAAAACTGTTTTCTTTAAACAAGAAACAATGTTTATTTAAATTTAGTTTAAATAAACCCAACTTATGTCTTTGAAATAAATGTGGTTCGTTATTTATTTTTTGAAATGATTGAATGCAAGTTTAGATTTATTGACTTAAATATTTATTCAAGGGAAATTTTGTGTCTTGTACATTTAACAGCCATTTTGTCTTTTAAATGACTATAGCAGAGGGGAATATTTAATTTAAGGTAGACTTTGAATTATGGTCTGAGTTTCTTAAATTAGTTTAAAGTGAATTAAAAACTGACGTTTTTGTAAGGACTGGTATTCAACTTCAGGTTTAAAATGCAGTTTTATGTTTGTCCACCAGATGTTTCAAAGCTGCAGCAAAATTACTTTGTTTTTGCAAGCTTCTGAAAAGCTTAGTTTTGGTCAATTGTGTTTGTTTTTGTCTCTAGAAAAGTCTCTAAACATAATGGAGGTTTAAAATCAGTTTAAACTATTCTGCCCAACATTGCCAGAAAAATATATGGAGTCAAAACTATTCAGATTGTTCCAGGAACAACTGTCTGAGGTAGGCAATCTACGATTTAGAAATTAGTTAAGCAATCAGCAACAGGTGGCACAAGGCAGACCTTTGGATTGAGATGTATTTAATACGTTCCATCAACAAACAGGAATCAGAAGGAAAACAAATAATTACCCAACTTTGCAGGTTTGGTGAAGTTTGGCTTCTTTTATTTTTTGATTTTGTTTAGTCAAGAATCCTAAAAAAAAAGTGTGTGTGTATATATAATATGCATTCACATTAGATACTTAGTTACTTTCTTATTTAAAGGGTATTATATCACTTCAGGTAGAATTTATGGGTTTAAAACAGGAAAATACCTTAATATTGATCCCAAAATGCTAATTATTCCAAGATGAATGGTCAATTATCCAACCAGAACTATAAAAAAGAACTACAAAAATGGCGATGTCAAGACTAAACCACCTAAGAAACATTTGATCAATTCAAACTTGTGCACCCAGGTTTTGTTTTAAAGTTGCACAATAGTTTAACCCTATGTCACAGCTTTGATGCTCATGATTGGGTGTAATTTCTCCCCTGCTTGTGTTCAGTTGTTGGAGTTGATGTCTGCCTCTTCTTTGTCCTCGCTGATGTCCTTGAAGCTTTCCTTCATGGCTCCTCCTTTCTCCCTCTGGCTGCTTTTGTACGATTCGGTGGAGCTTCGGGCTTGGTAGCTGTAGCTAGCGGTGCCAAATAACATCCCAGAGTTGAAGTGGGTCTCTTCTCCCTCCAATAGTTTTCTAACAGAAGCAAAACAAAAACAAATGTAGAGAGAAACATATGTTAAAACTTAACATTTTAGTTTGTAAAACTAATTGCTTAATTTGACTCCTTGTAGTCAATTTCTCCATTTTGACTGGAGAAAATGCCTGTATTATCACTTCTCCTCCACTTGTTACCACCTCAGCATATTTTCAAAAAATAAAAATCAGAAAAATGTGGTTCCCGTCTATCTAAATAATCACCGAAACGTCACAGAACGTCTAAACCAGGCTTGATTTTCACCATTTATCTAATCTGCTGGTGGTGTAGCTAATTTTTCCACTTAGAAAACATTTAGAAGATGAATTTAAAGCTCTGATTTTACCTATCTGTAAACTTTCAGTTGAATAAACTCCAACATATGTAGAGAGGTTTTGGTTTTTGGTCATTTACTGTATATTCATGCTCTTAAGAGATAATCATAAATACAATATCTAGTGGTTTTGTAGAACATGTGAATTATAATGTCAGATTTAAGTTGGTGCTTGAGGGTTGTTGTCTTTGAAGATACTTTGAATTGAAGTTAGTGCATTACCTTCTGCTAAGTACTATGTGGTTCTTTAGTGGAACTAATGTCTATGATTAGCAGCTTAGTGTTAGCGCAATTAACTTTTTAGAGATCTCCAGCATTTTCTTTAGATTAGCACCTGTAGGCGGCGATCTCGATATCCAGAGCCATCTTGACATTGAGCAGGTCTTGGTACTCCCTCAGGTGCTGAGCCATCTCAGTCTTCAGGTTCCTCAGCTCACTGTCCAGGTGGCTAATGGTGTCCTGTCCCAAAGGAGAAAGTAGTTCAATCTTCTTCACATCAGTTCAATTCTGTATCATTCTATACATAGTTACCACAAGTCTGTTACAAAGTTCATTATGTATAGTGTCTGAAAGTCTCTACAGCTGTTGAAGCTTTGTGATGCTTTTAAAGAAGTCTCCTAGAGTTCATAGAGGATTTCCTTTTTGTCTTCGAGGCTTAACCTTTCACCCCTGTAAGAAGCTAGCGAAAACCAGATGGCTTTTCCATATATAGCAGGTTGGAGATTAATCCAATAGACACGAAGAGTCACTTCAGTCATCTCAGTCTCACACGCCTAGAAAACCCAAGGATCGCGTCTTAGCCCAACGTTGAACCATAATCAGACGTTTACTGCCAGGACGTTCTCTTTTCTCATTGTACTGCAGAAACAGTCGAGAAAACTTGATTGTTTATGAACTGATTTTCTTTGATATTTTAAAAGTACATATTTGATTGAACAGGTTGGTTGTCACAACATTATGCAAACTACGAACCGCCGCCCTCGCCATAAATATTTTTCTTGTGGGTTTTTCCAGGATGATGAAAATGATCTTGTGACAAAGCTAATGTTGATAATGGTTTTGTCAACATTGGCCTCAAACTTTTCAATCGGTTTTCAGCTCATAACACGACTAAGCAGTGCTTCTAGCCTTATCACTGTTTAAGACAGTTTACCTGCTAGTCAAAGATAATATAAATTTCTTAAAGTAGGACGGGTTGTTCAATTGCTTCTGTAAAATAAGTTATTTTACAAACATATAATACAGTTTTGGTTAAACTGTCTATGGATGGATGGACCAACCAATGGATGAATGGATGGAACAAACCAATGGATGGATGAATGAATGGATGCCTGGGTGGAAGAACCGATGGATGGACGGACGGACGGACGGATGGACGGATGGATGGATTTTTCTGTCAGTTATTTAAACATTAAGGGATAGTAAACTTGTAAAATTGAGGCCCAAGAATTCTGGGAAGTTGAGTTTTGAAAGGTTCTAAAGTTTCACCTTAAAACATGAAGGGATTCTGTTGAGTAACAATAAAGAACTTATACAAACTAAATCCCAAACGTTGTGCTGACGTAGGGCGAGAACCTGAACTACTCGCCTGCATGGCTGTGACCTCAGCATTGTGCGTGTCCTCCATCTCGCCCATCTGCCTCTCCAGAGACTCGTTGGCGCCCCTCAGGGTCTCTATCTCCACCGTCTTGGACTGCAGCTGCCTCCTGAACTCGTTGATCTCTTCCCTGCTGGCCCTCATTGCCTCGTTGCTCCGGGTCGCCTGCTCACTCAGGCTCGCAAACTTGCTCTTGTACCACTCCTCAGCCGACTGCAGGTTTTTGGAGGCAATGGACTCGTACTGGCTGCGGATCTCCTTCAGAGCTGAGGTGAGGTCTGGTTTGGCGAGATCCATCTCCACGGAGACCTGCTGCGCCTCCATCATGTTGCTCAGCTCCTCGATTTCCTCTTCATGCACTTTCTTCAGGAAGGAGATTTCATCCGACAGTGACTCGACGCGCCGCTCCAGGTCCAGGCGGACCGCCGTCGCGTCATCAACATCCTTCCTGTAGGACCGAAGGGTTTGCTCGGCTTCCTCCCGCGCCCTCGCCTCTTCATCGAACTTCACACTCAGCTTCTGAAAATGGAAACACATGGAGAGTTTTGGTCCTGGGTTGAATTTACATTAACCTGAAGATTAACTTCATCTAGTGTCTGCAACCTTTACAAACCAAAGACAGGGGCGCTCCCAGAAAATTTCCATAGTGGGGGCCAAACCAGTCCAGAAAAAAGTTTAGGAAGCACAACAAATATATATATATATATATATATATATATATATACAACCACCGCGGGTGGTTCTTATCCTCTGAGCTCGGGTCCTACCAGAGGCCTGGGAGCTTGAGGGTTCTGCGCAGTATCTTGGCTGTGCCAAGGACTGCACATTTCTGGACTGAGATGTCTGATGTTGTTCCTGGGATCTGTTGTAGCCACTGCTCCAGTTTGGGGGTTACTGCCCCGAGGGCCCCGATGACCACAGGCACCACTGTGGTCTTCACCTTCCAGGCCCTCTCCAGTTCTTCCCTGAGGCCCTGGTATTTCTCCAGTTTCTCGTGCTCCTTTTTCCTGATGTTGCAATCACTTGGTATTGCTACATCTACCACAATATATATATATATATATATATATATATATATATATATATATATATATATATATATATATATATATATATATATATATAATCATGTATTTTCTAGATTTCAAAAATATGTGATTAATTTTTTTAGACATATATGTATATATATATATATATATATATATATATATATATATATATATATATATATGACCTGCGCAGCAGGTCTTTTGAAATCTAGAAAATACATAAAATTTCCAGGTTTAAGGAAAAAAACAAACAATGGACTACTTGGGTTTCTATGAAACATTATCAACTTTTGCAAATATTTTTTGTAATTTATAATTTATAATCTCTCTTTTTTTTTTTTAGAAAGAAATTGAGAAAAAAGTTTAAGGGGCAATATTATGCGTTTGACAACAGTACAGCAAATTTAATCAGATTAATTACGTTATATGTGCTTTAACTTTGAAAGGTAGAGAAATATGTAAAGTATCGGTAAGTACTGGTTATCGGCAGTAACTGCAATATTGATATCGGATATCGATATTGGCCCAAATGTTCATTTCAATTAAATTTGATAGGGAATATATACTATCAAATTTGTGGTCTAGGAAATTTGTGGTTATTTTTTTAAGAATTGCAATTTTATTTCTTTGGAATTTTAAAACTTAGAAAAACATAAAACATTTACATAAAAGAGGATTGACTAATTTTTTTTGTAAGCGATTTTAATGTTTGATTTAAACAAACAAAAAAAAAAACTGTAAAACTGTTTGTTTTGCAGTTTTTTAGAGCAGAAGTGCCGAAGAGTCCCTGATCTGGTGTCACCTGCAGCTCGTCCTCCATGTTATTCCTGTCGATCAGGATTCGGTTCTTGTCCCGGTTCAGCTCGTCCAGTTGGGAGCGCAGGTCTCTCATCTCCTGCTGGTAGAGAAGCTCGACGCGGGAAGGCTCGCTGTGTTTCTGCCGGAGGCTCACCAGCTCCGTCTCCAGGACTTTGTTCTGCTGCTCCAGATACCGGACTTTATCGATGAACATGGCGAAGCGGTCATTCAGACCCTGAACGGTGACACAAAGGCTTGTTCACAATCAAATTAACACTTTTTATGAGAGAAAAACTACAGAATATTCAAACAAGTGATTCTGTTAAGATTTGGGTGATTTTAATTACGAGTTACGCAGCTGCTTAGGGTTTCCACTCCACCAGGGGGCCCCCAAGAGCACCAAGGTTACAAGAAAAAAAATTGGATTTTTTTTTTTCTTTTTTGACATTTCTTTATCCTAAAAATATTGCTGCCACTAATGGGAAAATATATGACAGATATGGACAGATTATTATTGTCTGACAATTTTTTTTTTGTTCAATTTCTTCTTTTGCTGTTTTTTTTAAATGCATTTTGGTTTTTACATGTATAAGCATTTTGAGTTGCCTTTGGCTTTGAGAGCAAAATTCTGTTGCAAGGCTCCAATAATAATAAAAACAAAAATAAAAAATATCAAACTTGTTTACTCTAAATTCAGTGTTTATCAACATATATTTCTTTCAAATACTTAAAATAATACCGTACACTTTAACACCATGCTGCATTTCACAATAAAAATATATATTTTGTTCATTTGCTACTGCTGTGAGGTTAAAATCAGTAGTCATAATGACCCTGGTATAACGAAAGCTAATTATAAATAATGCTAATGATAGCATGAAGTATTTAATGTTGACTTCATTGTATGGGGGTCCCGTATGAGAAGCTGCCCAGGGCCCAAAAAAAGGTTTGGGTCGGCCCTGCCCGCAGAGACGGAACTGATGGGAGACAAAGGACATTACGGGAACCAATTAACTCGCTTTGCCAGGAAGCAGAATAAGATGGGATTACTGAGCCTAATGTATTATCTCTGGGCACATCCTTGACGCTGTAAGATAAACTTTTGGACAGATTGGCTTCATGGTGCATGAGTTTCAAAGGTACAAATCTGTTTTAGCTTCTCTGTCTGCCAGTCAGAAATAGAAACATTTTTTTTTCTTCCTCATGTAATGATTTATCAATTTTATCAGAGAATTTTGTTTGTCATCTAGCTAAGAAATGCACTTTTAATGTCCCACTAGGGTTCAATAACTTGATTCTTTTAAAATTATAACTATTAATGGAGATACTGTATAAAAAATTAACTACTTAAGCTTCTTTCATACAATGTTAAAAAAATAAATTAGAAAACTAATATTTTATTGCTTAAAATGCAATAGCATAGCATGCGATGGAGCTAAATTAGTCTCAAAAAGAGTTCCCCGTGCATGCAAGATTTGTAAGATAACATCCACAAGCGTACAAAAAAATGTGTAAGTGTACAAAATAATTCACAAATGTGTACAACACACTGCATGAATACATATCGCAACATTCACATGTGTGTAAACTGTCAGTCAAATTTCCACGTTTCAAACTGCACAAGTAGTAATATTGTATAGAAATCGAGAAACCTGTGCACGAATAGCCAGCTGTGGATGGATCTGTCAACTTTGACATACGCATCTTGTTGCTGGTGGTGTGAATATTTTTGAGACTAATTTAGCTCCATACATTCCGTTAGAATATGCTTGATCATTTGTAGAAAAGGATGCATTTGCAGATAAAATAATACTTTTCACAGAATTTGTCAGGTGTAGATATAACTATCCCATTTGAGAAGTTCTGGATAGAGGAAATTTGCAAGCAATTTTTATCTTAAATGCAAAATTGATGTATTTTTTGATCAATTTTTGCAAAATTTCTGCTCAGTGTTGTTTTTTCAACAAATTTCCTTTTTTAGTCTCTATACTCCAGTTAATTATTTTAATAATTGGTTAATAATGATTAATCCACTAAATATTTTCAGCCCTTGTCCACCAGAGCATTTCCAACAGTGTGGACTTTGACTAAGCCATTGCTGATTGTTTTATTTTCCAGCCATTCTGTTGTAGATTTTCTGCAGTGTTTGTTGATATACAGAAGAACTGAAGTTTGACTCAATGACATGAAACATCCAGGAATTGTGGCTTCAAAACAATACCACATTGATTATTACTATAAAAGCGAATATATGGAAGACCAAAAGTACCATATTACAAAATATTTTTTTTGTAAATATGAAAATAAGTACATTAATGGTTTATAAAATTTACTGTATTCAATACATGTTGAAAGTAAATATAATTTTTTCAGTATTCTTTCTTTATTTCATAGATTTGTGTTTGAATCAAAAACCAAAAGTGCCTCAATTTAATACGTAAATATATAAATACTTGCAATATAACTAAATGTTAGCGTTTTTTGGAAACACACCAAAAAATGTCTAATTAAATATATTTAATTAGTTATTTATATGATTGAGTAACTATAATAATTTCAAAGTTAAATTAGGAAACGAGCAGTTATTGCAATATTTAGTGATGTCACAGTGGTAATATTCACGACCAATCTTGAAAGAATTTAATACAGAAATTAGTTGGTAAAAAAATAATATAGCCTTTAACAGTACAATTTTCAAATAATCATTTGTAGTAAATTTTGTGAATGATCTATTTAATGTATTTGTTTCCATAGTTACAAATATTTTTTGTGAATTACTTCCTGATCAACAGTAATTTGGCACTTTTGATCCTCCATATTAAAGAAGTTTATGGCATTTTAGGAAGATTTTCCAGTATCAGTGATGAAAAATCTTGTTTTTTCTTTTCCATAAATTAGGTAATTAAGGTCTGAGCCTTAAATTCATAATATCTACTAAACTTCAGCAGATTTAATTTCCAACATTGGCTCATTTTAGTCCCACAAACCTGCAGCTGCTCCTTCTCGTTGGTTCTGATCACTTTGAATTCATTGTTGACCACAGAGGTTTGACTCAAATCGAAAGAACCGGTCGGAACCAGAGAGAACGGGGCGGAGGACCGACCGTGGCGTCTGTACATCCCCACGGAGGATGCGCCGTGGCGCGGCGCGGCCGTGGCTCTGGGCCCCGTGGAGGGCCGAGGGGCCGCGCTGCCCATGCGGGACGCAGAGGTCGGGAAGCGGGGAGAATCTCCGAAGATCTTGCGGTAGGACGACACGGTGTGGCGGTCCCCGAAGCTCATCTTGGTCTGACTCAGAGGCAAAACTGTCGAACTTAAGGAGCTTTAATGGGTTTAGAGCGCAGCGGGTGGAGCCAAGCCCAGAACGCACCCAGGAGCTTGGACATATGTTCACTTTGACATCTTTTTATTTCCTTACGCGTAACTTTTATCAAAAATATACATTTGCATTCATAAGTTTTTACTTTTACTTGAGTACAATATCTGGATTCTTTACCCACTGAATGTTTTAACACGTTTTAACCAAAGACACACCTGCAGTTTTTGTTAAAGTTTTTTTTATTGAAAGAAACTGATTTGGAAACTTTTTGTTTTTGCCTGATTTTGTTTCTTTATATTACATAAATAGAAACGTGTGTCATTTTTGAGTTTAAAATACCAACAATTCCACTTAACTTCATAATTTGGTCCATTTGATGATATTTTTTTCTTTTTAATATTAAATGATCATTTGATGCATTTCTTGGGTGTCTTTTACTTGAGTGAAAATATGCTGAAGTGTAACTACTCTTATTTGAGTACAATATGAAAACCATCTCTATGTTCTGATGGGACATAAGACAGATAATTTGAGAGCTATGGGCTTTTATAGCCCCCTAAAGAAATGCACCGCTTCCGACTGAAACCAACCAATCAGAGCCAGTAGGCAGGTCTTAGCGCTCTCAATCATCCATATGTACTTGCTAAATATGCTAATGTAGGAGAAACAACTTACCATTACCGGAAAACCGTTTATCCACCATACTGACTAACTTAGGCATTCAGAACATGCTATGCTAGCTGCTGAGAGTGCCGCATACAGGATGATTGACAGCGCTAAAACCCGCCTCCTGACTCTGATTGGTTGTTTCTAGTTAGAACTGGAAGAAAGCTATTTTTTTTCTCAGCTTATCTGTTTTATATTAGGACATAGTGACTATTTCGGGAAATATGTAGAAATGTACACTTTTTAGTAAAAGATACTGCAGAATTTATATTTTGACGTTCATAACTCCTATATGATGTCTTCCTTATTATCTCTAACTGATTTTATTAAATTGATGGACATTAGCATCTGTATTGGCTGATGTTAAATATCAGCATCGGTCCGATTCTGCAGGCTGAAATCTACAAATTAAAGTTAAGTTTTGAATTTATCAGATATTTTGCTTGCGGTTTTAGGTGTAGTTTCAGTCTTTCGCCACACGAGGGAGCAGCAGGACAAAACGGGAAAATGTGAGCCTCTCGCAATCTCTCCGCAGCACAAGTACGATTTCAACAAAAAGTCACAGACTCACGTTTACTGGCGTTTTCAGAAACCTGGCTTTCGGACAGAGACACGGAAATGACTATTGATGGATATTTTTTTTATTTATTAATCTTTGATACTTTGTCTTTTATTTTTTATACTTGCTGCAACATCATTTGCCGAAATTTAGGATTCGAATAAAAACCGTAACAACTGGGTTAGATGGTGAACACACGCGGAACAATAACAACAACAACAAAAAAACTTGGATGGGTTAAATCACCGAGTTTTTAAACCTTTAAGAGAAAATAAGTGAATACGGAAAACAGTTGTTGTTTGGAGGAACTTCTGTTGCAGTTCCCGTGCCCAACACTAGAGGGCAGAGCAATCCAGAACACGTCCGTTCCAGCAGCCTCCAATACACATAAAAAAACATATAATTTAATGTAATAATTTGCATTTCTCAACCTTTATGTTCAGGTATAATCTAAAAAGATGAAATATTAGTTCTAAATTTTGCGAGCTAACTAAATTGTCATTTTAATCACAGTTTAGTTGTAATTAAACACCAAGTAACTGATCATAAAATCAGTCATTTCATATTTAAAAATTACATAATCAAATAGACCAAATATAAAGTTATGCGGAAATTCTGATAATTTAAAGACAGAAATGAACATATTTAATATAAATATCATAATTACAAAACGAAGAAATCAGAAAGAAATTAATATTTATCCAATTCAGTTCGATTCAGTAGAAAATCAAATATAAATCAGGACTCGAATGTAAACTAAAAACTATAATCAAGCTTTTTCTTCATTCAGTGAAGTTACTCATCAGTAGCAACACTTCAAAATAAAATTACACAAGTAAAACTAAAAAGTAGTAGTAAAAATACAAATAAAATTACTTTTCCCCCAAAAAAACTTACTTTAGAAAGTGTAACTAGTCACTACCAATAACTGGTCATCATACTTCTTGTACTCTGTATTTAATTTAATGATCTGTCCATAAAGGATTTCCCCAGATTTAACAGTTTTTCTTTCAGATTTTACCTGAATTTACAAATATACAAATTTAGCTGCTACTTCTTTTTTTTACATCTATATTATTAACGATTTATTTATTTCGTTTCTCGTGTTTTAAAATAAATCATGTTTACTACGTATTTTCTCAGAGTTCGTCTCTTTCTTTATTCGGCATGGCTTCCGGACAGCGCCCCCCGCGGCTCTCCCCCCACGCTCCCACGCACAGAGGAAGAGGAACCGTGCGGTAGGCTGCGTGACTGCTCACCACTGTGCGCGCTTCCGCGCAGCCGCTATTGGCTGCCCCCGTGTTGTGTGGGCGGGACACGAAACTCTGAGTCAGCTGTGACTCACCGCACAACACGTCTGTCACCGTTGAGACCAGCTGATGCGTTCAGGGACAGTAGGAATAATTACATACCTTGAACTGGGCACGGTGCCGGAGTCACCACAGGTTCTATTTATAACAACTTCAGCAAAAGTGTTTGCATGTTTTGTTGGGGAGAATAAGGCAGGTATTTAAATGCATGAATTGATTTTATCACTAAAATATAAACTGCAATGGTTTTTTTCTTTGAAAGAGATCTAAAATGCATCTGTCTGAAACCTTTATCAGATATTTTTGGTTCATTAATCAAAATTTAATATTTTTTTTAAAATGCCAACTGATTTCGGCATATTTTGTAGCTTTGCATGAACATTTTACCTCTTGCATCTATAAAATTTAAAATGATTGACTAATAAAATGTTTCTTTGATTTAATCCCCAATAGTGAAACTTTATTAACTCTCAGTTCTTCCATTATTCTGAGAAAATGTTACTACAAGTGAAATCTTACAGAATTTGACCACGTTAGGAGGAAGGTAGTTTGGTCACATTTGTCCAAAATGAGGCTTTCTAACCGATAACGCTAAATAAAACGGACGGTAAGCGCTGCATATCGACCTGAACTCAACTCTCCTATGATGAAGCACGGTGGTGGCAGTGTCATGTTGTAGGGGAGTCTTTTCTACAGCAGGACAAGATGAGATTAAAAATAGAATTCTGAGAAAAATTCTGAATTCTCAAGTTAAAGTCCGCATTTTCAATTTTGAGATCAAATAACTGATTAATTTCAGAATTCTGAAAAAGAGTCAAAATTCTGAGATTAACATCTGGATTTCCAGATTAAAGTCAGAAGTTTGTGGTGAAAGTTTTCTGAGATTGAAGTCCCAATTTTTAGATTAAAGTCAGATGAGGCAAAAACATCAGACTTCTGAGACAAATGTCTCAGAAGTCTGATGTTTCAGATGAAAGTCTGAATTTTGAGATTAAACTCGGAATCTTTAGATGCAAATCAGAATTCTAAGAAAACAAAAGTCAGAATTCTGAGATTAAATTCCCAAATTTTAGATTGAAGTCAGAATCATGAGAGAAATGTCAGAATTCTAAGATTAAAGTCATAATTCTAAGGAAACGTCAGAATCCTGAGATGAATGTCCAAATTTTTCGATGAAAGTCTGATTTTTTAGATTATAATCACGATTCAAGTCACTACTTGTTCAGCGATTTGACTTTGTTTAATTTTTTTAACTTCTCTTTCCACCTCTGGCCATAAATAACATAAAAATTATCAAATGAATATCAGATATTTACTACGTGATATTATCTAACACAATACTCTGTTTGGGCCTTCGAACCGGCTCTGTGCCAAATAATCTAAAAATAGCTTTCCGAGTCGCTGACAGTGCAGGGAGCTCCCATTTCCTCCTCGTTTGCGCCGTGCCTGAACGCACCGCCAGCCTGGCTGATGTTACTTCGCCTTGGCTGGGTTTCCACAGCGGACTTTGGGTCTTCAGGTGCGGCAGCCAGCAGACCTCGCGGCGCCGGACGGAGTGGATTTCCTCCCCGAACCCGTTTGAGTTCTCCACCTCTGTGTTCCGGTTCGGTCACCGTGCTGGACGTGTCTCCCACGGAGGGTGAGTGCTTCAAAGTGCGGGCTTGAACTCTGCGGGATTCCTGCGGTTCACTTGTCAGTCGCGGTGTCTCCCGGGACATTTCTTCCGTGTCAAAAACAACGTTTGTTGTTGTAAAGTGTCTCTCTGCTGTTTGGTGTTGACTTGACTGGGACGTTTCCGTCAGCCGGGTGGAAAAGCGCTGCGTGGAATTCCCGTTACGTCGCCGCGCTGCTATTAAAAAACCGGCGAGGCGCCAAATGTGCGCCGGAAAAAATGAGGAATTACGCGGAATTTATTCACCGGTTTGAGGTGAAGCAGGAAAAGTTGAGTAAATCGATCACTTGAATGTTACTTGATTGACATTTTACAATCGGATTAATTCGGTTTAATTTGGTAAATGATGAAACATTTTGAATTTGACAGAAAACTTTCACCACAGTGGTAAATCAGATTGAAATGGACCAGAAAAAAAGACCAGGCTTGATTATTTTCCTCGTGTTTGACAACTGATTTTAGTTCCTGTTTATCTGTGTTGAAAAGTTTGGAAACGTCCTGCAATTTATTTGGACTCTTAAGGGAACAGGAACCAGAGATGGAGAATATTTTAGTCCCCGAGACTCTGATCCGCTGTAAAAAATGATGAAAATAACGTTGATTCAACAAGGAGTTTTTTTTTACAGTGGTGGTTAAAGAAGAGATGCTTATAGAAATCCATCCATCCATCCATCCATCCATCCATCCATCCATCCATCCATCCATCCATCCATCCATCCATCCATCCATCCATCCATCCATCCATCCATCCATCCA